CCGGGGGGTACAAATCAAATTTTTATCATGTGAATTGTAAGATACCCGGGTACCTTATACGGCGTTTTACGGTACTCTAAACTGTATAAATAATGTAAAATTAAATTGAATTTATTAGCCAATCAGACGAACTTCTGTCTATGACAAATCACGAGATCAAAGTTAGAATTATGTATGTAGCTAATTCGGATAGATCCGATAATTCATGTTATTCGTTAGAATTGATCCGTAAATTAGAATAATTTGTATGATTTGAGGTAAAAAAAAATCATTAAGATATGGTATCGTTATCATTACTCAAGTGAAGCGGTAGGAACTGAATTTAATCCGAACGCGAATAGTTCCTGATATCTTTGTTTAAAAGCTCGACCAATGAACTTTAGTCACGAGATATCAGAACCGGAAGATTTTCAATTATAAGATATTTCATAACGATAAATGGAAAATGGAAAACGTGAATCAAGTTAGTATCTCAACCATGCAACCAAGACAACCAAGGCCTAGATTTCAGTTCACAACACAACATAGAACATTGTTAGAAGGTGTATATCAAGAGACACCATATCCAGATAAAGCTCGAAAGCTTCAATTGGCTGCGCAGATTGGCGCCACTGACGTTCAAGTTAACGAATGGTTTCAACGAAGAAGAAAGAAAGATCCTTCAATGATTTCGAACAGGGCAATGGCTAATAGTAATGCAGCGACAAACACTGCATTGAATTCTCATACTGCAGTTCCACCCACCTCCACTATCATCACTATACCTGCGAATCTACCCACGACTAGTCCTAGTACCTCAGTGTCTCAAGGACATGCAAATACGGGAACAATTACTTCTCCATACTTTTCATCATATACTAGTCACGTAAATCCACCTATTCCAAATCATGAGGTTTATGTATATATTGGTGACAATCAAGCGGGTTATGGTCTCCCTACTACAACCCAGACCGTTGAAAATATTTCTGAAAAACAGGAAGAACCTCCAAAGACAAAATTAGAGACTGATAATTCAAGAGAATTGGTTGAAACTATTATGCCATACTTGAAAGATGATTTTGGTCTGATCTCTTCTGAAGTAGTTCATGACTTCCTTCATAAAGTCAAAGATACTCCCCTAAGTGAACGCAGATTAATTCTACATATTATTGATCAAACAAAAGATTCTGATACACTTAAAAGCTTAGTGTCTGAAAGAGCTCATTACTTATTAAGGAACTGGATAATTGATGAGGCAAAAACTCCTGATAGTGAATTATTGCTCAAATTACTTCAAACGGTGAATCACCTTCCGATCGATATTGAGGCCTTGTCAGCAAGTGGGCTTGGCAAGGTGATAAATAATAAAAGTGTAAAAGATTCACAAATAGATGGCGTCTCTGCACTCGCTTCTTTGCTCATAAGCAAATGGAAAGAAGAAAAAAAACAGCACGATGCTAAACTTATACAAGAAGCTAAACAACAAGCTTCATTATCTAATTTCGCTTCTAGTTCAAGTAAGGCAGGAATGCGATCTAGTTCAACACCGTCGAAAACATCACAAACTAATCCATCAACATCCAAAGTATCGAAAGGAAAGGAGGTATCAACTCGTATTAAATTATTAACCGAGCCAAAAACGAAGGAAATCGATCCTAAATTGCAAGCGAGGCCTGATACAAATACTTTCGATGAAATTCTTGGTTTAAATGCTATAAAACCCGTGAAACAAGTAAGTAAAGTAGTCAAAAAAGAGCAGCAAAAACCGACGGCGGTTGTCAAAGTTTCTACTGAAAAGCAGGATTCTTTAACTATGACGGGAACTTCGAAAAATTCGTCAGAAGTAATAGAAGATAATAGTTCATCAATAGTAAAAAGAGAACAAGAGAATGGACAGTCATCGACCATAAAAGAGGCTAAAAAGGATGTTAAAGAGGTTAAAGTTACTACATCTAAAAAAAGGAAGCGTGTGACTTTTGCACCTGATAATATGCTTACTCAGGTTAAACTATTTGAAGAAGAATATGATGAAGCGGAAGGTGAATTGTCAGTAGCTAATACACCACATCAATTTGGAAATGCGCGAGATCTTGATAGAAATGAAGGATTGGCAGCTTTCAAGAGAGTACGGAAGGCGCCAGCAATTCAGTGGTACACTACTCCCATGTTGGATTTGACCAGCAAAAAAATAATAAAACCCGCCAAGGTGGAAAGTGAAGAAGCAAAAATACAAGAGGAACGAGAACGAGAGATTTTTGAAACAATATATATTACATCGGATCAGGTTCCATTTTCACCATCAGAACCTGAGGAAAATATACAGCAAACCCGAAATAATATATCAACATGTCATGAAATAATCTTAAATGCTGAATCCGATGATGAGGATATCGATGAAGATATTGGAGACAATGATTCAGAAAGTCGTCCTTATATTTCTGAAGAGTTATTTACACAATTATTAGATATATATGCAAAATGGCAAGCTATGCAACTGAACCAATCCGTTTTTTCATCAAATACGGTCGGAATAGAATCTAAAAATGTAGTAAATAATTTAACTGGAATGCCGCCAATTCCTTCACAACTTCCTACAACCCAACAACAACCGCCTACATGGAATTTTGATATAAATCAACCTAATTCAATAATAAATTACCATCAACCACCACCATCAGGGATTCAACCATCTGCTAACGTTGCTTCGCAGCAACCCACATTTCCACAACAATACCCTCCAACGAACAATATGCCAAATCAACCACCAACATATCAGTATTCAAATTTGTTCATCCCCCCAGCCAATCAAAATAAAGAATTTTATCCACCACATAAAGAATCTGGGTTACCACCACCTCAACCTTCATATAACAATGATTCACAAAATCGTCCATACACTGAATCAGGGTTTGGACGACAATCACAACAGCCTCAAGCATCTACGGGTGGTAGAAGCGGAAGGGGAAGGGGTGGACGTCCAAGAGGTGGGGGTCAGACTGAATCAGGAAGACCAACGAGTGGGAGAGGATCAGAATGTTGGTACTTTAAGTCAGGAAGATGTAATTTGGGTGATGATTGTAAATTTCTACATGTTGATTATTAGGGTTAGGTTAGTTTGGTTTTGATTCCAGATTAAAACCAAAGAACCTGGCACTTATATAATAATTTTCCAAACAGAAGTTAACCTGGTTTGGTTCAGAAAACCTAGTTCTCATTACTTGTAAGATATGATAAATAAAAAATATACTAGAAAATACGTAGTATTTTGTGTCCGGAACTAAATACAGTCAGACCTTGTTATAGTCACTCTTGATATAGTCACAATCTTATTATAGTCACACTATTTCTTAATCCTAGACATTATATAAAACATATAAAATTTGACCTTAATATAGTCACACTTTTTTATAATCACCAAATGTTTGTTTCCCAACCTGGTG